GCGCTCATGCCGGCGAGAAGCCCTACAAGTGCGGGGAGTGCGGGAAGGGCTTCGGCTTGAACGCCGCCTTGGTGCAGCATCAACGGAGCCACGCTGCCGGCAAACCCTACCAATGCGGTGACTGTGGGAAGAGCTTCGCCTGGAGCTCCCACCTCGACCGCCACCGCCGTATCCACATGGGTGAGAAACCCTACCGCTGCGGGGACTGCGGGAAGAGTTTCTCCCAGAGTTCCCACTTGGAGAGGCACCAACGCGTCCACGCCGGCGCCGAGCAGCCCTGCCAGTGCACCGATTGCGGGAAGAGCTTCTTGGCCTCCAACAAGCGCCGGCGGCTGTTGACGGCCACCACCGAACGACCCTGTAAGTGCACTGATTGCGGGAAGAGCTTTCTTTGGGGTGCCCGGGCCCGACCGGCACCGGAGAGGACCCATAAGTGCAGTGAGTGTGGGAAGAGCTTCACGTACCGGGCAGAGAACGTCAAGCACCAGGGGACGCAGACAGGGGAGAAACCCTACACCTGCCCCGAGTGCGGGAAGAGCTTCGGGCAAAATTCGGCGTTGGTGAAGCATCGCCGGATGCACACGGGAGAAAAACCCTACAAGTGCGGGGACTGCGGGAAGAGCTTCAGCGTCCGCTCCAACCTCATCAAACACCAACGGACCCACCTCGGCGAGAAGCCCTACAAGTGTCCCGACTGCGGGAAGGGGTTCATCCAGAAGTCGGACCTCACCAAGCACCGCCGGATGCACACCGGGGAGAAGCCCTACAAGTGCAACGTCTGCGGGAAGTGCTTCAGCGTCTCCTCCAACCTCATCAAGCACCAACGCATCCACCTGGGCGAGAAACCCTACCAGTGCTCCGAGTGCGGCAAGAGCTTCATCCAACGCTCCGAGCTCACCATCCACCAACGCGTCCACACCGGCGAGAAGCCCTACAAGTGTCCCGAGTGCGGCAAGTGCTTCAGCCGGAGCTCCCACCTCAACCGGCACCAACGCACCCACGCTGGGGACA